TTTCTCGTATGGAAACTGAAGTTTTACAGTGCAACTACTCCAACCAACAAAATTCTGTGCAAATTTAATAGCGAATGAAATCCTCGGATGTTTAATAACAATAGATTTCCCACAAATTATAATGAATCTAAGCAAGCTATATGCTATAAATGCGTGGCCATTTTTATTGTTTTGACCCTCCGACACTACTGGACAATAATTTGCAAATAATTTGTTTGGGTGGCCTTGGTTTGATTGGTTGGAGTAGTCGCACTGTAAAACTAAAGCTCCTAGCGTATCCGGCTGATTCACACTCTGCGGGACTCTGCGTAGAAAAGCGGTACCATACCCTTCAAAATAAAATGTTCTGTTCATTCCGATCCCAATAATGAAAAAAGGTTAGATTGGATTTACGTTTTTGCCTCTTTAATTTCTAATAGTTTCGTTTATCAGAGGATTGTCTATCCTACATGGCGGGTTTTTTGCCCGACAGACCGACCAGTGGCGGAACTAAGAATGTCAGGTCTACTTTTTTCTAAATCCAATAAATTAAATTCCGCTTCCAGCTGGACTGTGTAAAACCCGTTAGCCTGTCTTGCGAAGATGACCTTCAGCTGTATAAGATAGAAATCTTCAAAACCTTTTAACGATTTCACGTGATGTAATAATACTAATAATTTTCTAATAATGATAAACCGGGCTCTCGATTCTCACCGAGCTCTTTAGACTGGGCACTAGTCAGATTTTCTTTCCCGCCATTTTATCATAGCAGCCAGGCCTTCTCGAGTTCGCAAGTAACGCCTGGTAGATATCCGCTTTCAAACATGTTGGAACCACTTTTAGAGGCTTTATCTTCGCAAAGACTAATTCTCGCAAGTGCATCGCCTAGAAGATGTGAAATCCTGCGAAAAATTGTAAGAATGTAAATATCTGTGCAAGTGGGGGATATATTTTCGCAGCAATTTGCGAGGAATTCCTTTTAGATTTCCATATTTAACCGGTAAATACATGTACTTTGAATGACAGGGCTTGAAGTTTGACGTGATTCCATCCACATTTGAGGAAACATTGGATAAAAGCGCTTTTAAACATCCATATGAATATGTTTTGGAGAATTCCAAGCAAAAAGCTCTGGAGGTAGCCGGCCGTGTAGATAAGGTAACTACTTGTTGCGTAGAAATATTTAATGTATATTTAAATATTTTTTAATTAACTGAAAAGCCTTTCATATAAGCTTATATAATTGCTGATCTTGAAAATACAGGGAAAAGTAATCCTTAAATACTAATTTATATACTGTATCTACTCAAATGCGTACTTCAATTCTGGAGACAACCTTGAATAGCCTGATCGAGATGTGATAGTGCACACTTCACGAAGCCCTCCTATTAAAGTTAAGAGGTATCCCAAGTATTGCTTCCAAACAATAGGCAATTATTGTTAAGAGACAATTCTTATGATACATCTTGGTTTAGGACTTCATGAATCCAGCCCAGGATAGTAAAGCAAGGCTGTCATAAGTAGGAATTGTTCCCAATCACCCCAAACATTCCTGACTTATGAGATACAGTGGACTGTATAACAATGAAGATAAGATATATATCCCTGATGGTCTGGGATAGTCGAGATTAAACAAAAAATAGGAGGTATTTTCTATTTTGATGACATGTCCCAGAATTTTGTGATGGTTGGAGATTACTGAGTTCCTTCCTGATTTATGAAAACATTAATCCCAACTGTCTGAGACATACCATATTTATTCCTCAATAAGCCGAGCTCAGCTATAAGCCGAGACCCCAAACTTGAGAAACGTGGAGTCGGCTAAAGCAATATGTGGAGAAACAATGAAATCCTATTTGTCTGGGGTTTTCTGGACATATAAGGACCAGGCTTAACATACTGTACAGACTCACTGCACCGATTCACATGATTGAATAAAAAGAAAATGGCAAAGGCTCCGAGCCTCGTGGCAAAAAGGTTTCCCCTCTTTTTGTAGTATGATGCACAAATCTCAGCTCATCGAGTGTTTAAAAGCTTTTATCGACATCCATAATGTACAGAATGTACATTATCTCTAAAGAGATTTTTAAAACTGTTTTGCTTTTTAGAGTGACAAAGCCAACTTGATTATAGGAGCAGATACTGTGGTTGTAAGTATAGAACTTTCATTTAACTTAATTTTATTAACACTAAGCTATCGCTTCACAGGCATATCCTGTGCATTTTCCTTCATCCTGCTTTTGATGACAGTGTCCAGATTTGAATTTGTCATCTTATATGCCAATTGTGTCAAATATGGACTGGCGTGTAGAATAATAAATTGTAAAATCTAAACATACCACAGGCTGCCCAAGCTAAAGATAAGAGAAAACTATATAAGTAGCCTGAGAAAACAGACGTCGCCGGTTTCGTGGCGCCACCACTGGGAGCCCCGCGAAACGACGTCTGTTTCCGGCTCAGGCTACTATAAGTAATAAGCGGTCTAAAATATTGTGTTACAAAGACAGTCTTGATTTATATGGGTTTGTATGGGAATGCAACGTTTTTGTTTTAGATGATATAAATTCAAATGTTCTGTGAATATAACCGACTTACCCTGTTGCTGTGTTGTATTCTTTGTTGTTTGCCCGCTCCTCAGGCCGGTTTGAAACCATCTTGGTGCGTTCTCTTATCTTTAGCTAGCTAGTGGGCCGACTATGTGCATGTACATTTTTAAATGACTATATGACATCAAAGAATGGTTTTAAAATTTAAATGAATTGAAAATGTCATCAAATTGTGTCTCGGAAGTCTTCCAGAATAATTATTGTACAAAATGGCACTAGAGAGTGTCTTGATTTTTGCAAATTTCCCTGGGCCTCCCTACAAGAAAATTGCCTTTAGCTCAATACATCAACAATTTGCTTCTATGGGCCTGAGTAAATATATGGTTTACCGAATTTGGGCTAGACTAATTAAGCTTAATGAGATTCCAATACATGCTTATTATTGTGATCCTGTCATGAGTCTGAGATTCTATGATTTTGAGACTTGTTTAATAAACTTTACCATAACACTATTTTGTGGACTAAATTCTACACTCATATGGAAATGTTGACAAAAATGGCTTATTTTTTCAGGTCTTGAATGAAACTATTCTGGAAAAACCCAAAGACAAACACAATGCATTTTCAATGTTAAAAAGGTGACTTGTGATTTGATTGCATTTAGTATTGAGATGTTTTATCTCTCGTTCAGGTCCAATTAATTCTTTAAATTTTGTGGTTTAATTAATCATTGCATTTTATTTAAAATATTATTGGTTAATGTTTGTTATCGCAAAGAATTACAGAGTTTTCAATAGATGTTGGCAAGACAAAATGTAGCCAGATGTTCTTCCTTAAAATACAAGACTATTATTATTATTATTTGTGCATGCAGCTCTTATGCAGCCAAAGATGTTACTGATCTTTATCCACCAAACAAACAACAAACAAACAAACACACAGGCAAACAAACAAACCAGGTATGGATCCAGACCGGTTTCCAACGTTTTACGGAAATCGGTCAGAATTCATTTTTTTCCAGGGAATGAAAGGACCTGAAAGGGTAAACGCCCAGGTTTGTAGCGGGATAGTGCACATATGACAGTCAAAAAGTCACAAATGTTTTTCGAACAATCTGATTGTTAGCCTCAAGAACTCAGGAACTGATGTTTTATAGAATCAAATCTGAAAGGTTTTCCGGGGGACCTTGCACACAGACTCCCCTAGCGCATAGTTGGAAAACAGTCATATTTTGCCTTGGATTCACGCCTACAAACACACAATCAAACAAACAAACAAAACTACTGAGAACTTTCTTCCATGACGCTTCCAACATTTTATGTAATGAAAAATAAAAGGAGTGTAACCTTTTTTATAGTTTGAGTGGCAAAGATCATGCAGTGTTCAGCGGTGTGACTCTTGTACAAAGTGATGGCACTGAAGGTGTGTTCATTATAGTGCGACTACTCCAACCAAGGCCACCCAAGCAAATTCTTTACAAATTGACCAATAGCGTTTGAGTGTTAAAACAATAAAAATGGTCACAAATTTATTGCTTCTGTAGTGTGCAGTTTGCTTAGATCCATAATTTGTGGGAAATCTATTGTTAACATCCAAGGTTTTCATTCGCTGATTTGCACAGAATTTTGTTGGGTGGCCTTGGTTGGAGTAGTTACACTATAAACATCAAGTATATAATTCTTCTTTAATAATGTAATTAATTAAGTGTTGAATGTAAGGTGACCAGTTTGCACTTCCATCTTTCACAGGTACAAAAGACCCCGCTATAACTCAGTTTTACGAGGAGACTTTGGTGTCATTTGGTGACTTAACAGACAACGTCATTCATGCATACATTGCAACTGGAGAACCAATGTGAGTTTCCTTGTGTGCGTGTGCCATCAATTTACTTTGTCTTAGTGTGTTAGTGCGGTGTGTAGATGTCTCAGTTGACCCTTTCACTCCCATCTAGTCAAACCTTGAGTCAATAAAATGTGGTTGTAACTTTTAAGTCTGTGGATGAAATCCTTGTGTGTGACCATTCAAATAAAAGCTATTGAGCAGTACTTTCAAGTGGTGCTGTTTGTTTTTGACAATTTTGCAACATGAAATCCAAGATTTTTTCCTCAGTTTTGAACTTGGCACCCTTGGGAGTGAAAGGGTTAATGTAATTTTGAATACTGCTGTACAGGTCGCTGTACAGAGCGTTTTAATCATAACTGTGAATGTTGCTTTTTTTCTTTTCAAGGGACAAGGCAGGATCATATCCTTAAAAATACAGTAAGCGCTGCCTGTTCCTCGTGATAATTACCAACAACAGACTTGCACTTGCTTTAAAGTTGTTAATTTATGGGGAAAAGTCAGCGATGACGAAAACACGCGCTTTAACAGGTTAGAGATTAACGCGTTACTTACAAAGAAAGGTTCACAAAATATGTTTGCGCTTGTGCTGTTTATCAGTCAGTGACACAAGGTACTCAGAAAAATAATTTTGAGTTCTTCCAGCAAAGGTCGAACCTATGACCTTCTGCACACCAGTCGGACGCTCTACCACTGAGCTACAGGAGACTCGTGGGAACTCAACCTCGTTCCCAGGGTCGAGAGACCCTGGGAACGAGGTTGGTGGGAGCTTCGGCCATATACATGTATACTAGGTCCAAATATGACAAACATCCCTGTAGCTGTCCGATCGGTGTGTGGAAGGTGATAGGTTCGACTCCTGTTAGGGGAACTCGGAATTTTTTTCCGAGTAGCTTGTGTCACTGACAGAATAATATATTTCTCATAAAAAAAATATAGTAGGTATATTAGAATAATACTACTTAACTTTAACGTGTAATGTGTAGAGTGAGGGAATATATATATTTACATTCTTACATGTAATAGTTATCAATGTGTTCCTTAACATCAATTACATATGGCATTCAGGGTATTGGCGGCACACTGGTCAAGTCTATTCACGGAGACTACTTCAATGTCATGGGTTTTCCACTTCATCGCTTCTGTATTCAAATTAGAAAACTATTCTCTGACAAAATTAGCTAACGCTATGATTTTAAAATCTTGCCGGTTTTTAGTTATTAAAAGAGATCAACTATACATGCTGTTCTTGTTGCTTCTTTGCTCCCAGGGTGGATAGCCCTCAAAACACCGGTAACGCCAAATTGTTTATAAGGGATGCAATTTTGTTTCGCTTTGAGACGATACTGTTTCCATATTGACACGGTTTTAACCCTCTCTCCTCCGCAGAGGCTCATATATGGGAGAATCAGCTGAACGAAGTGAGTGCAGGCGCGAGAACCCGGAGAGAGCGCCGCTTCGTTGATCCGCTAGTTACTTGCGCCTGCACACCACGTTCAGCGGATTTCTCCTAAAACCCCATTGAGCCTCTGCGGAGGAGAGAGGTTTTAACCTAGACTTTTCACTTAGGCCCCATCCACACTAATGCGCTTTCGAAACGCTCCGTTTTTGCCTAAAACGCATCAAAAGCTCCGCGTCCACACTATCGTCTTCGTAGCGTTTTGCCCGTCCACACTAAAACGCTCAAAACACTACAACAGTCATCTGCGCATACGACACTGATGGACGCGCCTGCGATGTCAATGACGTCAGCGTTTTCGAAAGCCTCCGTTTTCGCTGTCCACACTAATACGATAGGGCTCCGTTTTCAAATGTCTCCACACTGGACAGCGTTTTCAAATGTATGGGTTTTCAATGAAAACGATCAGCGTTTTCGATCGTTGTAGTGTGGACGATAGGCGAAAACGCATCGAAAAGTGTGCGTTTTTAAACGAAAACAACTCCCAAAGTTATTTTTTTGCAAGTGTTGAACACTAAAATCTTTGTAAACACGTAGGATGCGTTGCTGTCCGTTTTTGCGTTGTCTAAATCCAGGTCGTATCTCAGTCGTCTTTATACTAGACTGATTTGTCTGACATGCGACATGGATTTTAGGCGACGCTTTTCAGACGAATCAAATGTGGCTTTCTTCGGCTGCTCGTGACTTCGGCAAAACTTCGGCTCTGCCCAACCTCGTCCCCAGGGTCTTTCAGGCGTTTTGCAGGCACGCACGCATGCAGGCAGCACGGCGCGCGCACGCACGCAGGCAGGTACGCACCAAAAACCAAATAAACCTTTTTTCATGCCGTATCAAAACAGAATAAAAGACCATCAAGAGTCTGTCTGGTTAAATCATTTTATTTATCTCGGTCTATTGCAATAACAAAGTCAAATAATTTCCTAACACTCTATAATAATTAAAACACCTTACTAAATTTGTCTGTAAGTGTAACGTTCTGCAAGGTTGGTGATCATGGTGAGAGGGGCTACGCACATCGGTTTATTGGCTTTCCAAACTTCTTAGCCAATCACAAAGCAGCCAACAAACGCACGTGCAATCTATCGGCATGCGGCTATTTTGTCTTTCCTGGCGTCCAAACCGACATAAAAAGCATTGCCAACTGTGGCAGGAGTATGGACCGTTGCATTGTCAATTTGAGCAAAACGTATGCTAATGAACGTAAGATAAACTAATTGTACTTTCAATCTAATTTTTCACTTTGAAATTTTAAAAATAACTTGCTAGTCAAAAGAGCGGTTTTCCATTGATGATTGGTTTAAAATATCCGCGCCACCTACTCAATCAATCAGATGCAAAACCAATCGCAATTTGGTCACACGAGTTTTCCCGCGCTTGGCGCCGACGACTTGTCATTGAGTTGTAGACGTTTCTGTGATTGGCCATTGTAATTGCTTTGGTTTTGGTTTTAAAACACTCAATTGAAAACCGTTCTCGATTCCTAAACTTAATCTGTAATTAGAGAAAAACGGATGTTACCTGTAGAGATGTTCCGCATCTAACTTAAAGTCTATCGAGACTGTTGCGATGTCGTGTGACTGTCGTATGAAAAGCTCTCTGGAATGCCAGAGCATTGTTAGCGGTTTGTTGCTATATTTTCATGTTGGCTTGTTTGCTAACTGTTTTTAGCCTGAATTCCAGGCATCTCCTTGAGAACAGGCTAAACTGTGTTAGTATTGGCGTGAATTTTCGATACGTATGGTTATACCACTGATAAACTCTTTATATATATATATATACAATATGACAAATAAGAAAATCTTGAAAGAATACAAGTATCTTACAATCCCAATTTCTTCGTTAATAAGATAGTTTTGTTTCAAACGTAAATGTACAAATGGTGATATAATATGTGAAATTTCGAATGTGGTGGGCTCTTTAGCAAACGTTGCTCTAAAAATCTGAGCCAATTTCCTGACATTTCCTCTTCTGAACATCCGAGGTTCACCTCTGATGATATTTGTTCGTGAATGGAGACGTTGATCTTGGGTATTTGTTAGCTTGCATCTGAGAAGTCCTGAAAAGGAAAAACATAGGGACCGAATGAATAATAAACAATTATTGAATAAGGTTTTGATGATACAGTCGAAACTCCCGTAAACGGACACCCTCGGGAAGCAGAAAAAGTGTCCGCAACTGGAGCTGGCCGCTTACGGGTATGTGTAATGAGCTAGAGTTCAAACGGGGTTTTGTAAAGGCTGGCGTAAGTAGAACTGTACGCTTACGATAGTGTCCGCTCAGAGAGCTTCGACTGTACAGATTGTTTTGAACACTGTTACTTACATCATCGCTTCGTCTACGAATGGGTGAAATGATTCGTCTGCCTGTGTCACTGTGATCCGATGCCAGTGGTGAAGACATATCCTTTGGCTTCAGTCTAGCAAATTCACCACTACTGAACGATGTATGAAGTCTTTGCTCCGTGTTACGGGAATATCGACTTGTTAATGACTCCCCTAAAGAAGAAAAAATAGTGTAATCAATTTTACATAATTATGACTTCAAGGCTTCTACCAAACTATTCATGATCCACGTCTTAAAAAAGTTGGCCTAAATTTTTCAAGTTCGTCGTTCGCAATCCATCTTAATCTTTCCCAATCTGAACCATCCCTGTTCCTTTTTGGTTTATCGTTACTTCTTTGGCGATTTTCAACCTCAGTAAACTGATATTTTGAAGTTTTCTTCGATTTGAAGGTAATTTTGAAGAACGCAAAAAAACCCTTCATATTATCGTGAAATAAATCCTTTTATTTTAAAGTAATGATGGTATAAAGCACTTACTGGACGCTGATCCAGTTATATCTCTTTCTTTTCTATTTGTTTCTTGCAGTAACCTCTCTCTGTACAAAGAACACAACAAGAATTCAAATTAATGGAATGCTGATTATACTGTAGGAGGCGCGGTGGCCTAATGGTTTGCGCGTTGGACTCCGGATCGAGCGGTCTGGGTTCTAGCGCTGGCTTGAGTCATTGTGTTGTGTTCTTGGGCAAGACACTTAACTCTCACAGTGCCTCTCTCCACCCAGGTGTATAAATGGGTACCGGTGACAAAATGCTGGATGGGAGGTAACCTGCGATGGACTTAGCAATACTCCTAGTCGCTTAAAGGAGCAGTGTCACGGGATTTTGACCTTTTTTGGTCAAAACTGTGCTTCAGTACCTTTTTTATTTACAAAATAATTCTAGAACACCAAGAAAATTAAATCAACCAAATTCTTGAAAGAGGAACAAATTATGGTCTGTTCTAATGCATTTTGGAAACGAAAATGCGAGAAATTGAAAAACTGTTAGCCTAACATGTTTTCAAATTGCGATCCATTCCGACCCAGTTTCTATGGCCAGAGACACTTACTGACAGTTTTAGTACACTAAGATGGTAATTTATAACAAAATTTGACCATTATTTTTAGTTTTCTGAAAATACAAAAACGTTTTTTGTTTTTGAAATGACATCAAATCCCCGTGACACTGCCCCTTTAATGCTACAGAAACCGGGATTTTATTATTAAGCTCCAGCAGTTGTGGGCCACCAGGCTCGTGAAGACTTTACCCTTTTATTATACTGATTTAAAGAAAACCAGTTGGTTGCCGTCGTTTAACCTGTGCAGCTTACCTTTCATATTTCTCGTTCAATAGTTGTTTCTTGAGCTTGGACACTTCATCTTCAAGTCTGTCTGAAGCTTTACGTAATGTGTTAGCCTCTTGACGCTGGTACGTTCTAAAAGAGAAAAAATACATACATCTAACATGTAATACAATCCACGAAGCTCTGTCGTCGCTTTCGCCGCTTCGTGGCTAAAATTCGACCGAGAAAGACAAGAAAGAAAACCTCTTGGCCCAGGGTACCTTTGGGCCATAAATTAATAGCGCGATTAAAGTTTACACCCCATCGACCGACCGAGTGAAATTTATCCACCAAATGCTATAACTCGTTGATTCCTTTCGCATTCACGAGTTAAAAATGACAATTTGCGTGGATTTTCCACAGATGTAAATGATTGTTTTGTGGCTCAACATGGCAGCACAAAGGAAAGTTGACATAATTGTCCCTGATGTTTCTACTTACTTCTCTTGATCTGTTTTTACCAGTCTGTCTTTTAATCTATCCACTTCTTCAATAGTGGTCTCTAGAGACTTCTTTCCAACATATTCCTGTCAAAAAGATAGTTTACATTTAACTCATACTTATCACCTGTTTGTTTGTGTGAAA